AAATTGTTTGGTTTCTTTCAAATGTTTGCTACAAATATATTCTCTTGTACCATTATTGTTCATTTGTTCTATTGTTTGTCAAAAACAAAACTGTTGTTTTACATAAAATATATAGTTGGAATTACATTAATCTCCTCCAAGTGTTTATTTTATGTAGACCTTGGAGTAACCTAGCAAACATGTAAATATCACAACATCCAAAAGACATGAACAAAACCAAGCAACATCCGTTAAATAATCACATTGGAATCTTGTTGAGCTTGCGGTAGACATAATCCTTAAACTTCATAGTCTTGTATTTTGGTGGGCTTTTCTCATCCACAAGCTCTGGAATAGGCCCGATTTCATGCTCGGCCGGCGGCTCGATAAACACTGGCCAAGACATCCTTGTATTCTCCTTGTTCACCGTCGTGCGATGAAACACGGCCTTATACTTCCCGTTGCTTAGTATCTGTCATAAACAAAAGGGAGGCCCTTATAATTCTAACTTATGTTTTTTTACTGAACGATAACATATTATTAAATTAGAAAACTTGACTAATTATAAAATACAGATCTTGATGTCAACTGACTCCAACACAACTTGAACAATAAGTCTACGCTCAGACTGAAAAACAGGGACAAAATTGAGGGGGTAAATTTGACAAAAGAAAAAAGAAAAAATTGTTACTATAAGTGGTTGAATTGCAATTGCCACCCACTAAATCTAACCAAATTATTCAAAGTCTCAATCAGTCTTTGAAAATTACATGTATTCCCTTTAGACTATTTTTATCCATGACATCTTGTGTTGGGTCATGGAATAAAGACAAAAAAAAAAATAAGAAAAAAAAAAATAATTTATATTAAATAAAAAATAAAAATAAAAATCATCAACGTTGGTAACCTAGGTCATTTTTTAACCTTAGGTCACAACCCGATTGTGGAATGGAATGAGACACTTGTCCCATTCTTATTGGTATTTTTTATTATTAATTTATGTTAGATTAAAAAAATAAAAATATTAGAATTTGTATTTTTTTATTTTCTATAAATGAAGACCACATTCGATAGATTTTGGAACATAATTTTTAAGTAAACTATATATTAAGGTTGAGTTGGGTTGTAGATAAAGATAAGTTACGTTGTAAAAATTGAATTGTGTAGGTGGACGAAAGATAAATAATTTTTTATTATTGAGTTGTGTTGGGTTGAATTATGAATAAAGATAGTCTTAAAAAGTATTAAGGGACTCCACAATTATTTTTTATATCCAACCACACAGTTTCTCGGTGTTGGACCACACTAGGATTCATGAATCAAGATGGGACTCCACAATTATTTTTTTACCTAAACGATGGTCGAAATCCTACTGAACTAATAATCAAAAAATTTCATTCAAAAAATGTCTGGTTCGACTGTCGATCAACTGAAAGTCGGAACCGAAACCTAAAATAACACACTCCTGATCACCTTGAACATGCAATTCAAATTCATAGCCGAAACCAGTACCACCAATCAACCCTGACCGACTCCAATTTAAGGGAAGAACCGAGCCCTAGTCCCTTGAACCGATGTACTCGTCTAACTACAATGCACCTCAACTCAAGGGCAATTTGTGAACAAACCATATAGCTAAACAATCATTTTTGGAAGTTAGATGAATTTTGTACCTCAATTTGGTCCCCAATTAATGTGTATGACAAGGGCATTTTTTTATGTACCTAATATAACAAACCAAATAGCTAAACAATCATTTTTAGAAGAAGTTAGATGAATTTTGTACCTCCATTTGGTCCCCAATGACTATAATGAGGGCACTTTTTATGTAACTAACATCATACCACTCCCCGTCCCTAGAAACTTGGAGGCCCTGAATTTCGTTCGGGACAAGGACTGTTAGGGCCGACATGTCACTGTGGGCCACCACGCCTAGGGCAAGGTCTGGGCAGGGGCACGGCGGGTAATAGTTTATCTTCAACAAGTAAACCGTCTCATCGCCACCCATAGCCACCTTGAGCCGCGGCTCATCCAACCCTAGCCCAATCGAGAGCCACTTGATTAGCTTTTCAGATATCTCTCTAAGCCTTTCCCTATAGTCTTCGGTTGCTTGCCTGCCAATTTTGTCGATTTTAAGTTGACCATTCAATACCATACCAGTGTATTACATTCAGAGGGGTGTCAATTAGGAAATATATACTTAAATTTTTTTTTTTTTAGAAAAATAGTGAATACAAATCTTCGTTTTTTAAATTTTAAATATATTTTTTTTAACTTTATATTATTTATATTTAAAATGACATTTCGTACTGCTCTAAAGATAAATATAGTGATTTATTTATTTTAGATGCAATAAACTCACGCACGCACTCACACACCAACATTCACCTGTAACACGGCGGATTCCTCGGCCAGAAATCGTAATTAACCGCCGGCGGGGGCCAAATGTTATGAAACAGGTGGTCGACCCACCCCTTCTTGCCGTCAACCTCCTGCTGCAGCCGCGTCCCGTAGCCCTCGATCCCCGACGACGGCGTTTTGGCGATCAATTCCTTCTCCTCGGCCGGCAGCTCGAAGAATTCTCGACCGGCGTTTTGCAGCCGCGAGATGACGTCATCAGGTATGCCGTGGTTGACCACCTGGAACATCCCCCAATCCTCGCTCACTGCCTTAATCAACCCCACGATCTCGCTCTCGTCTCCGCCGCCGACGTCGATCACCGGGATCTGGAGGACCACGCCACGCACGGTGGTCTCCGCTGGCTGCTCGGCGGCGGACCGGATGAATTGCGGCGGGATTGTGTCCTTGTTTTGGAATTGAGAGGCGATGTACTGCACTCTCTCCGAGTCCGCCTCCATTATATTATTT